ATATTTCAACGTCACTGGGCAGAAAACGAGAGAAAGAAATTTGGCAGTGGCCGAGGTTCGGAATGAACCTGTTTCCGTTTTCCTTCCGTCTGCTCCTCCCTTTCATCCTGTTCATGGGAACTTGATCCATATTTCAACGTCACTGGGCAGAAAACGAGAGAAAGAAATTTGGCAGTGGCCGAGGTTCGTAAGGCGTTTTTTAATTGCAGTGCAGATGAGAAGTCGGGCTAGACTTTGCGCCCATTTTTCATTGCCAATTGTGGTCGATGGCTTGACAGGACCCATTTTCGAAAACGGGGTTCTATGCCGAGGTTCGGAAGGCGTTTTTTAATTGCAGTGCAGATGAGAAGTCGGGCTAAACTTTGCGCCCATTTTTCATTGCCAATTGTGGTCGATGGCTTGACAGGACCCCTTTTCGAAAACGGGGTTCTACAGAGGAAGCGTCGTTTTTAGCGAGTAAATTATTACGTGTCTGACTCCGTTTTTGGCTGCTGCAATTTTCTACTTGTGAGTTCTGATGGGATTGCATATGACTTCGTCGTCAACAAAAACTAACTTCGAGAGGATGATGATTATGATGAGCACTTATAACATTTTTCTCCCTAATGAAGTTTTAGTCGATTATTAAAATAGCTGCAAAAATACTGCCTAGAGCCTGCTGAGGGCGGTTTTCAAAATTTCTACCGTTTTGACTTTCCCGCGAATAACTTTGACACTGTTGCGCTGCCTTCAAAAGCCGTTCTGAGTCTTTTCAAAACAGGTTTTTAAATTCAAAATTAGTTTACTGGTGAAAAAAATGAAGGGAAAATGTTTTATACTTCAGCATGAAGAAAGGGTTTTTATAATTGGATGTTAGAAGAGCAGATTTTGTCAGTTCCAACTTACCAAAAATAATTTTATTTGATTTCCATTTTTGATTCTGGTTTTTTTTCTTCAGTTGTTTCACATGCAGATTTTTAGTCTTCTTTCACGCCGAAAAAATAGTTGCTCAATAATTTACCTCTTTTTTTGCTCGTGTTTTTTTCTTCAACAGAGTCACAATAAGTTCACGACACCGTCTCCGTCAAAGTACGCCTCGCCATTCCCATCGAACGCGGCGGCTCTGCTCGCTGCGCACCGCCTCGGGCTCCACCACCACCACCAACTGTCGTCCGACGACCACCACTCCAGCAACGACGACGACGCGACCAGTGGCGTCCGTGGCGGTCACGGCGAAGGCGGCGATGCAGACGACGACAGCGCCGACGGCGACGACTTCCCGGCACTCAGCCCGTCTCACCACCTCCGGACCGGCGCCGAAACGCCGCCGGGACTGGTGATCCGCAAAAGGGCGCCTCGGGCCCTCACTGGCAAGCACGTGCGCCAAGGAACCGGCGCCAGTCCCAACATACTCCTGTCTTTGAGGCGGAAGATTCAAGAAAGGCTCAGGCTCAGGGAACAGCTCGGACTGCATCATTTGGACACTGGCGGCAAGTTTGGGTCTCGGGCCAATAACAGGCACGGCGGGAACCGAGCCAATAATGGCAACACCAACAGTGCCAAGAACCAGAAGAAGCGTTCTTCGCGATAAAACAACCGAAAATTATTTTTAAAAATAAAGCAAAAATTCTCACAGATGGTGCTTCCAGCTCCTGGTTTCATGGACAAAAAAAAAGTTTTTTTTTTCTTTCGATTCGATTATCAGAAAGTCGCGTTGAAACAGCGATTCTAACTTTTTTTTTTCTTTTTTCTCTCTGGAATGGTGAAACAAAATTTTTCATTGAAACATTAAAAATGTGAGTTGAATCAGCGTTCCCTATATTTTCGGTAGCTCTTTTGCGTGTGATCGGGATCATTTACACAGTTCAGCGCGTCCCAAAAAAAAAGGATCTTAGCCAAAAGAGCGCCTATTAAAAAAGGGGATGAGTAATTTATATTTGGAAGTGATTTTTGCATGATAATAATGGCCATAGTTTGACCAAGGTTCAAAGTTTTGAAATAGAGCAAAAATAAGAGAATTGAAGGTGAATCCGAACCATTGATGAGGCCGAAATTCGTGCTTCTGCAATTTTCTGACGGTCTTTTCGGAAACAAATATTTTAAATAATTACAAAATACCCTTAGGGGTAAAGTCATAAATATTATTTTTGTTCCAATGGAAGAAATATCCTGATTTTGGACATTTTTGTGTTGGTCACTCAAAATGAGAAAGTTGCCCAAGTAAAATATCAATGGGGTTCAAGTACGTTAATTTTCAGAGTCGAGGCTGCAAATGGAGAAATTAAATTTCAGAGCAATAAAAGCAGAAGATTGTAGCACTGGGAAAACTTCATATCGAGCCACAGCAAACACTATTGAACGGATTTTTTATATTTGCATGCGAATATTGGGAAATATGTAGAAACTACCTCAGCTTTGAATTAGATAATACTTAACGGCTGTCTAGAGCTGATTGACGTTTGCGCTGTTTTGGGACGCGCTCAACTGTCCCTGATCCGAAATTTTTCTTCATTTCCTTATTCTCAAATGAGTTCAAGTCGTTGGGCTCTTTTATTTTCAGCATTTATCCAGACGACCTGAAAATGTTTGCGTACCATGTTCAAAACAACGCGTTTGTTCTCGCCATTCCGTCCATTATTTCTCGCCTGTCCGAAACGAATTTCGGAAGCATTTGACGCGAACATCCATTTTCTTTTCCATGTCGGGATAGGCCTTTTTTGAAATTTTACCGACGATTGAAAAAAAGGAGGAAAGGAAATTAGCCCTCGTTCAGCGCACTTATTCAGCCAACGGCGGCGGCAAAAATTTTGCATTCGATGCGTGTCTCGAAGAAAAAAATTGCGCCCCGCGTGGCGCCGACGTAATTTCAGCTCAGATTCCCAAGTGCTCAACTTTTTAAAAGCACAAAAAAGCTATATATTTTTTTGTTTGTTTTGTTTTCGATGAAAAAGCTGAACGTGGTGCCGAGATGGGGAAAAAAACCTCTTCGTCGTCGTCTTCCAGTTTGTTAATGTTGTTTGCCAACATGCGTGGCGACACATTTGCCTCATGCGAACACATTCCACGAAAAAATGTCAAAACCGAAAGCCACTGTTTCGGGTTTTGTTCCTGTCTTTCGATTGCAGTGCTCTCTTATGTGGCAAATATTCGTTTTTCTCGAACGGGAAATAATTTGTTTTGCTCGACGAAAATGATGTGTGCAATGCGGCCTGATGCAGAACCGGGCTCATTCGAGATGTACCATATATTTTAACGCCTGAATATTCGCGATGACTCGATTGTAGAGTTTGATTTTCTCGCCTTTTCCTGTTTTTGCACGAAAGCTAGAATGCCTTTCTAAGCTAGGCATGGAACTCGTCGGGTTTTCACGTGTTCTGAGACTGATCGCATTCCGAAACGCTGTGGAACATCTGTTGCCTCGCGACAATCATTGAGGGAGATCTGTGCTGTGGAATTGAGAAAAAACAGTTCATTTGATCTTGTGGATGAACCATGCAATGGAATAAAAAAGATTTGGGAAACACAACGCTTTTTATTCTAATTTCGTGGATACGGGACCAGCAGAGGAAGGTGAGGAGTTCACGCAAAAGTCTGATTATAATGTAAAACTTTGGGGAAAGCAGCATTTGAATTTACTGTATTGCATTAATTGATGCATCAAATTACCTGTGTTATTTTAGCTGACGTCGCATATGTTGCGTAATTGACAAAGTTTTCCAGTGAAAGCGACATCTATCGTATGTAATAGACCTAAAAAAGGAATCTGCCCCAAGGTACTGTAGTAGAGAACCTGTAGTCACAGTAGTTCTCTGACTTCTCTCTCTCTCTCTCTTTTGTTTAGCCAGGAAACACAAAAATCGGCCTGAACTATACAATACTGTACTGTATTGTACTATGACGAGAACGACAGATGCCAACGCAACATTGTCAAAGCGACATCTATGAAACACGGAAAAAGTTACAAAATCAGATTACGAGCACGACGCGTAGAACGAGCACTTCCTTATGTGCAGGAATGCCTTCTTCAAGTCACCTTGTGAGCTCGGCCAGAACCAGCACTGAGACAACTTTCTTCACAAAATCAATTTTTCTTCTCTAAAATTCCCATATTCCAAGAGCAAGAGTAGTTACTACATCAAATATAATTTCTATACATATAGTCTTTAAGTTGAATTTTCAAGAGACCATCAAAAAATTCAACTTGAAGAGGTTTCAACTTCAGGAGGTTTGAGCTACAATACAAAGCCCTTTTGTTCTGGGAAACATGGAAAAATTTCCCAAAATTGTAAATGGTGACATTTGGGAGTTGAATTGCTTATTAAATGAGTTGACAGGATGCTGTACTCAGAAGCAGGGGCTCATTTGCCCAATCAAGTCTTTCACTTACTTTTAAAATGCATCAATTCCTGTATTTATTGCTTTTTTGTGTCAAGAAAATAAGAGCCAGAAGGCAACAGCAAATTTGACACATAGAGGTTTGACAGAAAAAGCCTCAGACTTACAGAGGTTTTTAATGTATTGTTTGTAAGGGGATTCAGACAGCGACCTGAAAAATTCAACTTTGAAGAGCGTTCCACTTGGGGAGGTTCCAGTTATCAAGTTTCACCTGCACTTCCTTCTTTGATTTCTTTTCTTAACTCAGGAACAACAAGCTCAGAATTTTGACAAGCAAAACTGCGGTATGGATCATGTGTTACTCAAGCCTTCTAACATTGAAAAAAAAAAACCCTATGGGAAATTTTTTTTAGTCTGTCTGAATCACAACTTCAAATGTTCTCGCATTGAATTCCCAAAAAACAAGACATGGGATCCCTTGTGTTGGCAACACTTAGTTGCGTGCTCCTGGACTTCCATTCAGTACGACAATAATGTTCTCCGTACAGAGTAGCAAATCGTTGTTGTTGGACCGACAGGATACAACAAACATTCTCTCTGGTGCCCTGAATTTCGTAGTTCATAGTTGACCTGTATCTGAAAAAAAATTCGAAGTTACGAAGCGAAAAAAAAAACGAAGACGGGAATTTGATCTTCCGATTGCCTTTTTACCAATGCACATCTTTACTCGTAATCATAAAACAATTCTACAGCATAGGCACAAAATAACATCGAAAAATCCCTTCTGGAAAAACCAATAAAAAGGAGGAAATGATCAATATTTTCAATCGAAAGCAAAACCTCCCCGAATTAGCCACGAGTCAATCAACGTTCCATTCGGGATTTTCCGATCAAGAGCGGGTGTCAGACAAGCAGTGCGCAGAGAAGAGAAACCAGGAAAAAAAAACCTTCGGAGGGGCTGGGGGGTGGGGGAACAAAACACCTGCTCAAGCCAAAAAATGCACGCCAAATCGCGAGAAAACCAGTCAGGTTAATCGGGGAGCCTCACACAAGAAAAAAAAAAAAACCGGAACCCCACGCGCCCCCACACCGGAATGCCAGTTAGGATATTTCACAAAAAACCCTCCTGAAATCAGGACGCGCAACGCAATAATGAGCCCAATACCTTTTCTTCTTTCTCTCCAGTTCCCCACATGATAAAAAAATCAGTGCCAACGCGGGAAAAACAAATACAGCACGACCTAGCTTTGATTCAGGGGGACATCCCACACAAAACCCAAAACCCTGCACAAACAAAAAAAGGACTCATCCCGCATGCTCAGCTTCTCCCAAAAACTCATACCACAAAAAGGTTTTGTATCAGCGTGAACACTTGACACGACGAGTATCACTTAGCAACGAGCCGTTATTAGCCTGAGTAGCCGCAGGAAATCCCTCTTCCTCCCGGCAAAAACGGGAATCAGCACAGCAAAAAACGGAAAAAAACACGCCGGGCAAAGCGAATACAAAATCCATCTCAGCACAAACACAAAAAAAGTAATAAATGAGAAGCGGTGAACCCACACAGCACGATTTGTTCGACGCCTCTAGAACACCCAGCGGGAATCCGAATGATTAATACTGCTTCACGACAAACCCACTGAGCAAAATGAAAAAACAACACGGGGACCCAGGCGAACTTTCAAAATGGACATTTTTCCAAGGTGTCTTGAGCAGAGATTCCCCAGGACAAAAAAAAAGGACCCACGTTGGAACGCAGTCGAACTTCCGGAAAGAAACGCGGGCTCGTTTATCACAGCTACGATTTTACAGCAGAGGCGCTAAACTCAAATAGCGAAGCGACGAAATCGAGTTCTTTCCTTTTTCTTTCCAACGGTTACATGAGAGAGTAACTTCAGCTCGAACATTGCCCCCGAAAAATAAAATCTTGACCTCTGCGTATACCATATTGACTCGAATGCAAGATACCACAGGAAAAGTTAAAATTGAAAAAAAAAATTATTCTAGCTGATTTCAGAAGCCATCCGAATCACAGCTCATCTGCTCCATCAACCAATTCAATCCATGTACCATTTCCGTAAAGCTAACCAGAAAATAGCTTTCAAGCATGATTATTGATATATTTGAAAGTAAAATTAAGATTTATCCGTTCAACTCCAGTAATTTGACATACACTATTTGCTTCAATCATTACGGAATTGCTGCTGTAGATTAATCAGCATCCGTACTACATTTTGCGGCAGAGATCTTTTTGTACATTCAACTTGAGAATTCATCTTAATTAGCTAATTATGAGTGATAACTTGACTAAAAGACATGAACTACAAAATGCATCACGCATTCGAGTAAATATGGCAGCAGTTCCGAACGAGTAAAATTCTCTTGAAGTCAGCTTGTCAATTTCGGACTGGATCAAAAAATGTTTCCATCTCGGGCAAAAAAGGGGGGCAATGGAACGAGACGCGAAGTTACACACAAAAAAAGAAGAAAAGAGGAGGGGGTTTCAAAAAATGGGGAGAGCAAAGCCGGGAGGAGCCGTGGCTATCACAACGGACAAAACACGAGTACTAGCAACGACAAACCTAGTGTTCCAGCATTTTCTTTCTTTCGCAGCGGCTACGAAGCAATATTTTCTTCGTCTCTTGCTAGGGTCGTTCGGAAGCACGCGGGGAACCCATGAGACTTTCGTAAATGCCACGACAAACCCTGTCCTTCGCCTCTTTGTGGCCCCCCTCAATGCCCATTATTGCTTGCCAACATCCACCAGAAATGCATGTGGGGGTCAGTCGAAACAAAAGAGCGAGTCATAACTGGAGGGGAACTCTGCAAAATACGAGAAAACGGAACGGGGGTCCTAAAAAAGCCGTCGCAGCAGAGCGGCTAACACGAGGCAAGCTACCCTTCACAGCACCCACGAAAAACTCAGAAAATCGCGAACCCATAGCAAATACGCAGGCGAAAAAACGGGGCGGGGAATGAAGTGACCTGATATAATTCCTATATCACCCCCAGACGGATTAAAATGATCACGAGTTGAGAACGTCAATACAATCCCGAATGCCAGCTCAATTTCTAACAAACCCCTCGAACATAACTACCCACATGTAAAACGAAATCCAATATTAAATCGCGCATTACAGCAGCATCACAGCAAGCAACGTATACAATTACGAAAAAAAAGAACAGAAAATTGCTTCCTCACTCTCCCGTTAATGACCTTCTTCGACGTGATTTCTAAGCCGTGCTTTCTCGCGAGGGCGTGACCTCGAATAAGTGCTTCCGGTCTGTTCCGCAATGCAACCCGAGTCAGCCGAAAACTTTTTTCTCTCTACCCGTAGCGAGGAACTCAAGGAGGAATTAGAACTGTCGCGCTTTTCTTTCCGCGGAATGTAAACGGCATCCGAGGCACGCATGCTCATGACAGATATGAGTTAAGCGGGACATTTCGCGATCATTCCACGTCTCAAAACCTTAACGCAACATCACACCTAGCCTTCAGGTTTCAAAGGTCTTGACTCTTCAAGTCAAGCAAACTCTATAGAACTGGGATGTGCCAACTGAGCGCCGAATAAATGAGCGTCGGAGACTCGAGCATCAAGGACAACTGAGCGTCGATCACCCAACCTCCACCTTTTTGTAATTATTCATGTCATCATTTTACGGCTATTCTTTTACATTCCTTCACAGTAAAACTTCATTTATCCAAATTATCGCTCTGAGACAAAAACTCAATTTTAAGCAAATAGTATTTAAAAACATGCCTCGAACTCTTGAAAGGATGAACAGAATTTTGCATAACATTTGCACTCGTAATATTCAAGTATAAGCTGAAGACAGCTGAAGAAGAAGAAAAAACTGTTTGGATACAGTTGTTGGATTTTCGGGTAACTGGAGTTGGGGTAATTTCAGATCTACTTTGATCCAATGACGAAAGATATCACAATAATAATGCAATAAAAAGTTGAAAGCACTCAAATTACAATTCGAATTTTGAGAAAACAATTTGATGGGTCAGATGTCCCGCCGCCCAGTTGTCCGAAACACTCACGTGACCCTACACCTCGCACAGTACATCACTGTAACACAAAAACAGCTCAGGCAACAATGAAAAATAAATAGCTAGAAAGGATTGGCATACGCCAATCGACCGCGAGAGAAAAAAAAAAGACATCAACGAGGAATGATGGAACGCTCAGCAACGACGAGGGATGAGCGTGAAACGAGCCCCTGCAATTCACTCCACACGTGGAAGATTCAACTCAATTCGAAAACGGAAGACGTTGGAGGCGGTTTTGTACTCACACGGGTGGCCCACAAAAAGTCTACAAAAAAGCGATATCTCTGCCACTCGAGAAAAAATAAAACCAAAAATCCGAGACAACCCACTCGACGGGGGAGGAGCGATGCACAGCAATCGAAACGCCCACAAAGCTCGCGTGTTGGCTTTGGAACCACAAAAAAAAAAGGAACAAAAAACCCCAGAAGCACAGCAAGTTAAATCCAGAGATGCACTCGTCACATTAAACACAATCTACTACGGAGTGGACTACAGGAGGAATGGTTCAACACGATTTCTTTGCGAAACGAAAAAACATCCGCGGAATAGGGAGCTGACGAGACGCCGTGTCCTTGCATTTCCACTTCGCTACCGTCGTCGACGTTCTAATCCGCATGGGTGAAATACTCCGACGCGTCCCCACGGCATATCGGGCAGGTACGATTACCCTGAAATATTAACAATACATTCATGAGTTCCAGTCCTCAAATAAACCCTCGCCTCAACGACAAGATTCAAGACAGAATACTGTAATTTATTCATTAAGATAATAGGACGTATATTATTCCTGCGAAGAAAAAAAAAAACGCCCAAATCATCGGGCACGAAACACGTTCAGGATTTTGAGTATTTTTGAGACCGGTTGTGCAACTTGTAGAATCGCCAACACAACGTTGGCCTACTCAAAATAAAACGCTTGAAAAACTATCGGAATTTTTGCTAACGAGAATTTGTAGGTCTCACAACGCATGTTCTGAGTTTTTTCCGTCGGGAGCTTTTATATCAAAAATCCGAGCCATAAATTCTGGTGAGACCTAGGATTTTGTAAAAATACGAAAAAACCTACCTTGAGCCACTTGTCCACGCATTTGGTGTGAAATTCGTGTGAGCAGGGCAGAACGCGAAGCATCTGCCGGTTTTCGAAGTCGCACATGCATACGACGCACGTTGTCTGGTCACTTCCCGGATTATCCGCATTGAACCTGTTGGCAAACGAGGAACATTTCATCCAGCAATCCGAAGTCATTTCACAATTCCCAGCCATGAAAGTTTGCCACGATTCGAGACGCCAATCGCATTAAAAAACTACGAAAATTAACACTCGATCGATAGGGGCACGACAAAAATGTTACGTTTCCCTTTTCCTGAGTGGCTACTGCTCAAATTCACGACTGAAATTTCCTGCTCGTTCCTTCAGGAATCGAGCTAATCGGAAGATTTTGCTTTCACTACAACGTATGTCAAAGAAAAAAAAGGCAATAATGAAATACTTTAAAAGCATCGATCTCTACATTATTTTTCTTTTCTAATCTTGCAGCTCACGGAAAAAGACTTCTGCAACCCAATTTTGACCAACCCACTGTTGACGGTGAATATCGAAGTATACTCAAATTATTTTAAAAATTTTCATTCAGTTTGGTTCTCGTGGGAATCACAAAAACCTTCGCGTTTCCGGACTTGACATGCTTCGAGGATCAATCACCCTGATTCCGTACCACCAAAAAATGCTCTCACTTTCAAGGCACCCAAAATTGAAACCGAATTTGAAAACTTCTAAAATTGCTTACCGGTATGAAGGTAGCTGTTCAATTTCGGAGCGTGTTAGGCCTCGGGGCTTCACTTCACCCAGCCGTTCGGCCAACGACAGCAACGCTTCGTAATTCTCTGCCTCCGTATCCGCCGCCATCGGATGATGCGGCATATTCAACCCTTGTCCAATCGTTCTCACGTCACTCGGCAGCAATCCCGTCAGCCCATACATCCCCCTTCAAAATTCAGAATGATTTGGTCAAGAAACATAATTATAAAATCATGGTTCGTCACATAGACACACGTCAGCAGAAAACGATGCGACTCAGAAAATACCGCGACAAAAGAAAAACGAACAGCAGAGATCATTTGAACAAAAACAATAATTTTCTGATTAATGCTCGAAGTGAATGACTGCTGTTCTAAATATCCGTAAGTGAGATCTCAACGAGGCACAACGCTGACCCTTTTCCCACTTGAACATCCCACCAATCTTTCAAAATTTTTCCCAGACATAAAAGCACTCGATCGAAAAACATAAAAACCCCTCGTTATACAGTACCAACAATAAATTTAAGCAAGATTGCGCAGGAAAAACGTTACTGCTTTCGCATTGCATTTGCAGCATGATATCAGGAATTCACAAATCTTAAGAGTTTTGGGTGATAATTTTCTTCAATATCGCATCATCGGAACAACTTACAAGAAATGCAACAGGAACGAGTGCTGGCTGGGCGAGTATGGTACGTGCTGTTGCAAATGGTGATGCACAGCCGCAGCGCTGTTATGCGACAGCATCTGCGACGCCATGGCGTGATGCGACATGGCATTCGCACTCGCGTAGCTCCTCAATCTCGCACCATTGCCCGACGTCGGCGGTGGCGGCGCCTGTTGCTGTGATTGCTGCTGCTGCTGTTGTTGTTGTTGCTGCTGTTGCGCCTGCTGCTGCTGTTGTTGTTGTTGCTGCTGCTGCTGTTGTTGTACCGACGGAGGTTGTGGCGCCGGTGCTCCAGGATGCTGCATCATGCCGTGTGCACCGGGGTCTCTAGCGTGAGCCGCGTTGACAGCGGCAGCAGCAGCCGCCGCCACGAATCCGGAGATGTTGGCGGCATGCTGGCGGATCTGGTGTTGCTGGTGGGGATGCGGCACGTGGTAGCGAGTCGCGTGTTGACTGTGCTGCGGCTGCATCGTGTGATGGTGGTGGTGGTGATGCAGGTGATGGTGCATGCCCTGCGACGATGCTGATGCAGCCAGTCGAGAGTCGCTTCGGCTCAGTCGACGGTTCCGCAAGGATCCACTCGCCGCGGCAAGAGCTGCAGCCGCCGCAACAACTGGAATATCGTTCACTGAAATGCCAAATAAGCTACTCGTCACATTAAACACAATCTACTACGGAGTGGACTACAGGAGGAATGGTTCAACACGATTTCTTTGCGAAACGAAAAAACATCCGCGGAATAGGGAGCTGACGAGACGCCGTGTCCTTGCATTTTCACTTCGCTACCGTCGTCGACGTTCTAATCCGCATGGGTGAAATACTCCGACGCGTCCCCACGGCATATCGGGCAGGTACGATTACCCTGAAAAATTGACAATACATTCATGAGTTCCACTCCTCAAATAAACCCTCGTCTCAAAGATATGATTCAAGATAGAATACTGTAATTTATTCATTAGATAATGGGACGTATATTATTCCTGCGAAAAAAAAGAAACGCCAATAATCATCGGGCACGAAACATGTTCAGGATTTTGAGTATTTTTGAGACCGGTTGTGCAACTTGTAGGAGTATACAAATCGCCAACGCAACGTTGGCCTACTCAAAATAAAACGCTTGAAAAACTATTGGAATTTCTGCTAACGAGAATTTGTAGGTCTCGCAACGCATGTTCAGAGTTGTTTCCGTCGGGAGCTTTTATACCAAAAATCCGAGCCTTCAATTCTGGTGAGACCTAGGATTTTGTAAAAAATATAAAAAAACCTACCTTGAGCCACTTGTCCACGCATTTGGTGTGAAATTCGTGTGAGCAGGGCAGGACGCGAAGCATCTGCCGGTTTTCGAAGTCGCACATGCATACGACGCACGTTGTCTGGTCACTTCCCGGATTATCCGCATTGAACCTGTTGGCAAACGAGGAACATTTCATCCAGCAATCCGAAATCATTTCACAATTCCCAGCCATGAAAGTTTGCCACGATTCGAGACGCCAATCGCATTAAAAAACTACGAAAATTAACACTCGATCGATAGGGGCACGACAAAAATGTTACGTTTCCCTTTTCCTGAGTGGCTACTGCTCAAATTCACGACTGAAATTTCCAGCTTGTTCCTTCAGGAATCGAGCTAATCGGAAGATTTTGCTTTCAATACAACGTATGTCAAAGAAAAAAAGTCAATAATGAAATACTTTAAAAGCATCGATCTCTACATTATTTTTCTTTTCTTATCTTGCAGCTCACGGAAAAACACTTCGGAAACCCAATTTTTACCAACCCTATGTTGACGGTGATATCGAAGCATCCTCAAAATTTATTAAAATTTTCTTTCAGTTTGGTTCTCGTGGGAATCACAAAAACCCTCGCGTTTCCGGACTTGACAAGCTTCGAAGATCACCCTGATTCCGTACCACCAAAAAATGTTCTCACTTTCAAGGCACCCAAAATCAAAAGGAATTTGAAAACTTCTAAAATTGCTAACCGGTATGAAGGTAGCTGTTCAATTTCGGAGCGTGTTAGGCCTCGGGGCTTCACTTCACCCAGCCGTTCGGCCAACGACAGCAACGCTTCGTAATTCTCTGCCTCAGTATCCGCCGCCATCGGATGATGCGGCATATTCAACCCTTGTCCAATCGTTCTCACGTCACTCGGCAGCAATCCCGTCAGCCCATACATCCCCCTTCAAAAGAATTCAGAATGATTTGGTCAAGAAACATAATTATATCATCATGGTTTGTCACATAGACACACGTCAGCAGAGATCATTTGAACAAAAATAAAAAATTTCTGATTAATGCTCGAATTGAATGACTGCTGTTCTAAATATCCGTAAGTGAGATCTCAACGAGGCACAACGCTGACCCTTTTCCCGCTTGAACATCCCACCAATCTTTCAAAATTTTTCCCAGACATAAAATCACTCAATCGAAAAAAATAAAAAACCCTCGTTAGACCTACAATAAATTTAAGCAAGATTGCGCAGGCAAATCGTTACTGCTTTCGCATTGCATTTGCAGCATGATATCAGGAATTCACAAATCTTAAGAGTTTTGGGTGATAATTTTTTTCAATATCGCATCATCGGAACAACTTACAAGAAATGCAACAGGAACGAGTGCTGGCTGGGCGAGTATGGTACGTGCTGTTGCAAATGGTGATGCACAGCCGCAGCGCTGTTATGCGACAGCATCTGCGACGCCATGGCGTGATGCGACATGGCATTCGCACTCGCGTAGCTCCTCAATCTCGCACCATTGCCCGACGTCGGCGGTGGCGGCGCCTGTTGCTGTGATTGCTGCTGCTGTTGTTGTTGTTGTTGCTGCTGCTGTTGCGCCTGCTGCTGCTGTTGTTGTTGTTGCTGCTGCTGCTGTTGTTGTTGTACCGACGGAGGTTGTGGCGCCGGTGCTCCAGGATGCTGCATCATGCCGTGTGCACCGGGGTCTCTAGCGTGAGCCGCGTTGACAGCTGCGGCAGCAGCCGCCGCCACGAATCCGGAGATGTTGGCGGCATGCTGGCGGATCTGGTGTTGCTGGTGGGGATGCGGCACGTGGTAGCGAGTCGCGTGTTGACTGTGCTGCGGCTGCATCGTGTGATGATGGTGGTGGTGATGCAGGTGATGGTGCATGCCCTGCGAAGATGCTGATGCAGCCAGTCGAGAGTCGCTTCGGCTCAGTCGACGGTTCCGCAAGGATCCACTCGCCGCGGCAAGAGCTGCAGCCGCCGCAACAACTGGAATATCGTTCACTGAAATGCCAAATAAGCAATGATGCATTAAAAATCAGTATCAATTCTTTCAAGGGACAATAGATAAAAATAAAATAAAAAATACTACGTGACTCAGTGGCCCAAGCGTTAGAACAAGGACGAAACATACTCTGGATTCTTGTTCGAATAGGCTCACAAAGAATGTGAGGATTTCGAAGGGCAATGAACATACTGTATGAACATGAAATGTGTGCCAAGGAAGAGAAGTCGATACAGTGTGGAAAAAAAGTGGCAAAAATCTTGACATGTCAACAGCAACAAATGTTCTGACACTTCGGAAAGAGAAAAATGTTTGTCCTTGAAAGGGGGAAAAAATCTCAAGGCAAATACCCGCGTGTTTCTTTCACTAGAGCAAAAGCGAACAGACATCAAAAATAGGGTGCGAGGGGTTTCATGAAATATTAAAAAATCTTTCAATACATGTGGACTCTATGTGACTAAAACCATTGATATACTGTACAGCGAAAATCGTTTTAGACAAGGTCGTTATGGAGAGTCCACCTGTAATAGCATTTTTGTTGAAAAGCGAGAAGTCGAATACTGTAGGCGTCGATGAAGATTTCCCTGTCCCATTGAAAAAACTATGCGAATCACAATTTTCTTGAAAATAAAAAAGCCAACTAACTTCTCCAAAAAAAATTGATTCATACACAAGTCTGGGCTGCTTAAAACTGTGTCGAATCTTATTCGAAGCATCGAAACCCACGCGCTTCAGTTTTCTAAATTATGCGGCGAAATAATTCAAAAATGTTTGCTGCTCGATACTGTTGAATAGTATACACCATACTTTACAATCAGAACTGAAATGACTATTTCTGAAATATCACCGCACGCGATTCATTCAAGTGCCTGTCGGTATGGATAGTAGACGTACCCTGATGCGGCAGAGGGAACAGGTAAGGCTGTTGGTGGCCCGACGTCGGCGGACAACTCGACGCCGTCGGTTGACCGTTGCTCGGCATCGGGAGGAAAGACGAAAGCGGTATCGGTGGCACGGCTGGTCCCATGGTAACCGTCACGGGCATCTGCGTCGGCGCCGGTGGTGGCGGCGGCATGACGCCCACGGACGTAGGCAGTGTCCCCTGGTGTGCTGCGTACGACGATCTCCGGCCCATCATTTCCATCTCATCTTCGTGCCGACTCTGCTTGCGCAACAAAACATGTGTCACAATAACGGCAAAACCCACGTACAACTTCTTGAACTCGTTGAATGTAAGTAAGTTAAATCCAGTTGAATCGTTACCTTTTTTAGATTAAAGCGACATCTGCATTACGCTTGGAAATTAGAGAAGGATATAATTCCAGAAGTACGAAAAGGTTTCATAGTCGGAGACATTTCTTTTTAGATGCTATCGTTTCCGCGCGGGTAGATGTCACCAACGGTCAGTTACGATCAAAAAATATCCCCTCTATTACGGTTACTTCTGACGAACAGCATCAATTCCACTCAAAAGAAACTTGGAGAACAACCGCGCATCTATCTACACTTGAATTTCCAAAAAAAGTTAGATAAACTTCGGAAGAAATGCGATGACACGCAGGATTCAACACAACACGAACACGTGTTCCGGACTCGTTCAAAAACATTCCACTTCAATATTCTAGAATTTTCTACTTTTAATCGAAAATGTTTTCAATTTTACGCACAAGAACAAATTCACTCATAAATTTTCCAGAGAATTTAATTTCGAAAAAAAGGTAAATTCAAAGGCACCTGAGCGTGGTGACGAGGCTGAGCAATATGCATTGTAGGCATGTGGGGGCGGTGATGCGGCGTCGCAACAAATCCAGGTCCCTGGTGGCCCATGTGAACCCCATGATGCGAGCCCATGGTTGGTGGGCCACCGGGTCCCATCCCCATGTACGGCGAGTAGCCAGCAGCTCCGTGTGCTTGCCCATAGCTTCCTGTCACCTGCAGCACACATTCAAAAGAAAACAAGTTAGCAACCCCTTGAAAATTGTCTTTCCGTCAATTCAAGAGTCATCACAACTTCACAAGGGATTTCGATTGCGACCGAAAACGTCGATTGACCAAAACAACAATCGATTGAAACAGGTCTTGCGCGAAGCAGATTCTCGTTGTCAGAAGTTGTGATGTTTGGTTAGGTTCTATGAGAATAAAGAAACATTTTTCAAATGCTGTACAATGAAAGAAATTAATGAGCATAAATTGTACGCGTCCCTCTGTTCGCCAATATTGTACTGCTCATTGCATTCTTTTATTACAGTTGGATCTCGTAAGTCGAAAACCTGATTTCAAATGCTCACTTCGACTTCGTCTGAACTCCCCCTCAGAACAATGTAATTTATTGACCTTCCTAGCTCCAAGACTTCTGCAATCAACCCTCTTCAACTCAAATTTTGATAACCATTAGGCGTATTTACTCCTTGAGACCAGGATGAAGAAGAGCAATAAAAATATAACGATGCTTTTCGAAAGGAAGTGAGATATAAATCGGGCAATGCTACTTTTGCCTCAAAGATCAGCATCCTGTCCAACTCATTTATCCCGACGTTTCAGACCCAGAATATCACCAATGTTATTTTCCTCTAATTTTTCATGGTTTCCCTGCAAAAAGGCTCATTCTTCAAACTCAAAAAAGGCCCAAAATTAGAATTTTTCAGTTCCCTCCGAGCTCAACCTAAAAAGGTTCGACTGTGTGGCATTTGGGTTTTCGTTCGTGGCGCACTCGAAAATTAAGCTCCAATTAGAACCGAAGCATTGCGGAAAACAAGAATACGAACAAAGGTTCACATGGTGCAAGACGGAAAACGCCCATGATTCCACAGGGTAGTCCCTTCCCATATCTCTCCGAATTATACGCCGGAAAAAAGCTGGGGGAAGAAAAGGCCTCGATCTTTATTCATAATTCGAGTCGACGAGAGAAATCGAATAAGAGACGCGGAAATCAAGAGCATCGACCCCAGAAATAGGAAGACAATGGTTTTTTCGCTCGGCTTCCTATTCAAGATTGACTCTTTTCATTTGGTGGGGAAGTCAGACACGAAACACTGTACGGAAGGGAAGAATGTGTCAAATTAACCGAACAGTCGAGGGAAATTCCGCCAGCTTCGTGTGCCGCGCGTGACTGCACTTCCCTTTATCGCATTTCCCACACATCCGGATTCCAGACGCGGGCATGACGAACTCCGAAGTTCGTTTCACCACTATCCCTCGGGCTTCTTTCGTAAGAACAGGTGACTGACTACACCTCAACAAAATCATCATCATCATCACGGAAGTTTCAGAAATACGCTCATGCTTTCGAGCGATCAGGGAACGAAAAAATTACCCTTGGAAAAAAGGGGTACGGCTGGAGAAGAGGATCTCTAATTAGAATTGTGCAGTGGACTACACGAATCAAGAAGTGAATTTCGCACTCGAGACTAGATTAAATACCAATAAAAAAATAAGTTTCTTCTTTCTTACTGCATCTGCAGCGCTTTCGTGTTGATGAGCATAATTTGTCAATTCGAATTTAAGCGCAGCTGCTGTTGGTTGAGATTGGTTTGACCAGGTAAGCCTACAGGTACTAGGGTCAATTAGTCGTGCTTCAGGTACTGCATTGGGTTAGATTTTTTGCGAATGAGACATTGGGTTATAATAATTCTGACTAGCGCAGTAGATTGGGTCAAGTATCTTGAAATGCTGAAAGTCAACCATTTCTCGATTTATTCTCAAATGCAATTCAAAAAGAACTGAGAAAAATAAGTCCTCTATCAGGAAGATTTCCTGACATAGACGCATATTCACGCAAATTGCATGAATATGCAAATATAAGCATAGAATAATTCCATAAATAAGTATAAAAACGGTATAGCATTTCAAAATACTTTAAGCCGAACAAAATTCACTGCTCATTATTTGCATTTCCGAAGTAATCTCTCATTTCTCTCTCCACTAATTTCTCAAGTTACCGCTCCATAAAATAGATACCCGCATACCACGGGCACGACACTTTTCTGAATTTATTTTGTAAAAACCTAACAAAAAGGTGCGCGTGGTACCCGAGCTAATACAGTGTACTCACATTAATAAGGTCAATTCGCAACAATCTAAGGTTGAAACACACAACTTGATTACGAACTGAGAAAGCAAAACTTCCTTCGGGAAGGTCAGTCGCGTCATGAAAGGAAGAAAGAAAAAAAAAGCCCCAAGGTGCGTACGCCCACAGATTGATCATTCTCCGCATTTCAGGTGGACAAGCGACAACCGTTCCGCTTCCCCACGCACCAGGGCTCGGTCAAGACCAATCCCACTTTAGGCATGCTCACATCAATTTACGACTGGCACATTCATCAGCTGGATATCGTCATAATGCGTAATTAACTCGACAAGTCGAGGAGAACAGGAAAAAATAGGCGCGCACGCAGGAACTTCCTCGTTGCCCTGGGGGAGACCGATGTCATTACTGAACTGTTTGCCGACTTCATGAACCTAAAACAACTTTAAAAAAAATCGAAGTATAATCTTCAAAGCGGAGGCTTTCACCTGCTTCAAACAATTTTTCTCTACAGGCCGGGAGATCTTGACATCCCAAAACAGAGGCGTACATAAAAAGTACCTAATGCCCCATTCAACTGTTCGAATAACATAATGCCAAGTAACGAAACCTCGTGGCATTTAGAACAATACTCGACAGTCAACAATCGAGACCAGCTCCACCCAAGTTTTGGACTTCTCAACATAACAGGCCTCCTTCCCAGAGGACAGAGGTTGAAAGGACTGGAATGTCGTTCATTTCCCCAGAAATGATTTGCAGCGACAGCAACACGACGGGCTAGAAATGCGAGATAAAAATCTACCCATAATGGGAAACACACGAGATTTGAATCTTGCACGAGAGAAACACAGTGCGCTGCTGCACGAAGATCAACGTCGTACTGTTTTGTAGCTCAGAAAAAAAAAACAACGAAAGAAAGAAAGAGATTAAATTTTATTTTTAAAGAGCGTATAAGTGCCTCATTTGTTCCCAGATAAAAGCACAAAGACACTTTAAGTACAAGCCGCAACACTGTTTCACTTATGTAAAAAACAACATGCTCTAAACTGGCTCATATCCCAACCAAGAACATGTAACACAGTACTGTACTTCCCGAGTTTCAAATCAGCAGTGCCTGATAACATATACACTTGGACACTCTGAAAAGATTGTCTCAAATTATGTTCTCTGCATATACATTTTTTTTTTTTTTTTAGTTACATGAGGTTTCTATATTGCGTGGGTTCTCAACAACGAAATTCTCTACACAAAGAATTTTTTCTGGTCCCCCGGAGTTCGTTGCAGAGAATCCTTATGGAACTACAAAAAATCGTTATGCAGGGAAAATAGTTGTGGGAAGAATCTACCGGTACCTAAATAAAGCATGAGACACTGATGATTTAAACTCGAAGAAGTGCTTCCAAATTCTCTCCACGACGATTTTTTGCTGGTCCTCTGAATTTCGTTGTAAGAACCCATAAACTGAGATAACTCTTATGGAACTATAAAAACAACCGCGTCGCAGAGAAAATAGTTGCAGAAAGCGTCTACCTGAATACAGCATCGAATACTGATGATTTGAAACTCGAGGAAGTGCTTTAAAATTTTCACCATTATTTTTTAGAAGTACACTTGAATTTAATTTTACATGAAATGCTCTCCCCAACGAATTTTTTCGGACAGCTGAATTTCGTTGCATAGAAACCCAACCGTTTTGGAATCAACGAAAATTCGTTATACTGCACAAAGAAAACTGTTATAGAAAGAGTCGAACTGTACATAGTTTCGGGCAGCATTGATTATTTAAAACTCGAGGAATTGCTTACAAATTCACTCCGAATTCTCACCACAGCGAATTTTTTCTGTAGCCCTGAATTTCGTTGCAGTGAACCAATATGGAATTTGAAAAAATTCGTTTATGCAGAGGATATCGTCGTATGCGGTCTTCCTGTATGTAATATGTTTTGTCACTAACGATTTTGAAACTCTACATTCCCTCCTTGAAAATTTTTCTGATCTTCTGGTTTTCGTTGTAGACGGAGACAGTTCACCTGCATCAATTTTTGCTCTCATGCGCAGGGCCGCGAATTTCAACAAAAAAATCGAAATTCGTCGCGGCACACAGTATGTACAAGACATTCAACACGGAAAGACGACAAAGCACACTCACCTGACAGGTCCCTGGCGGCAACTGTCCCGCCGAGCACGGAAAGAACGAATGCATTTGGCACGGCATCCCGCGCACGGCCTGGTTCGCCGCTGTGCAAATCGGTAAGGCACCTTGGGCTTGCTGGTACAGGCCGTTCTGTCGCGGCGCGAACGACATGGCGTTCACTGGCACCTGCAAAACAAAAGGCAAACACTCTCGTGAATCGCTAAATCTTTCCATCAATATTTGCCGTCGATTCGCATGCTGGGAGAAAAAAAAAAAAAAAAAGAAGAGCTAACGACTGCCTCCACATGGCAGAATTGAACGATAGAAATAGTCGTCCACTCCAAAGCACCACAGCAGAGCTTGGTTTCTCTTCTTTTTATAGGAAAAATGCAATGCTTTCTGTCATGTCCACGGTCTCCAAGTAAAATAGTTGGTTGTAAGAATGAAAGCAGTACAGTACATTTAAGATTTGGAAAACTGTATCAAAAAACTAAATTTTCTTACGACGTGGCAAAGCTTTTACATAAATATTTTGAACACTCGCTTTCACAACTTGGAAGACAAAATGAAGTTTTCAAAAAATTTCAGTGGATTGATTTACAGTATTGATTTGGAACACAACTTTTCTATGGGAAACGTCGCATTCGATCACAATTTTTTTTCTCAAGAACATCCTCGCGAGATGAATCGAATCGAATATTGCTCATAAATTATACGAGTTATCCAACTCTGGGTTCGATACGAACATAAAACGAAACCAATGTTTTGTCATTTCGCAGAACCTTCAAGAACTCCGCGGCTCAACCACAGGGGAATTTCATAAAAATATTTTAATCCAGAGGGGCGACAAAATCGAGTTCCTCGAAAGAGTTGGCGAAAAATTCTTGAATTCCCGGATCACGAAAATTTCACAAGCCGGAAGTTTTCCTCGAACTAATCGATACAAAAAAAGCGGAAACGTGAAGGATGACCAATTTCCGAAGCGAATGGAAATCAATCCGCACAATAAAACCCTGCTTTAGCCGTGCACGTTTGATTCGCCATTGTTCTTCTCAAGATCGCCACCATGGGACACAGACAGACAGACACACACTTGCAATGTACCGTATTTGAGAACAAACATAACTCAAACATTCTGATTTGACCGTAGAAAAAGAAAAAAATCGCGTGTTTTTACAGATTCCCGCAGCGTCTAGGAAGCCAGACTCCGCATTCCACGCGTCGCGATCCGAGGCAAAAAAAAAGTTTCTTCATCTCTTTCTCTCCCTCTCTTCTCCACATTCACGTGGATGACTCGGCTTCGAAGGATGAATGGCCTCTACGGCTTCATGAACATGTTCTTCCACCTCAGCTGTATGCATTCAAGTTTCTCCCCGGAGAGGGACAAGAAAAAGAAACGAGGCAGGAATACAAGAGGAATATTCCACAGCACTGCTGCCCTTCGCAGGGGCATCCAAAAATGAGTAACTTCCGAAACGGAACTTCCCGCGGGAATATGAACGCAGTCACGAGACTCGGGAGAATCATCCATCATGGAATATCTGCCTTCATTTTTTATCTCTCCCTTCTTTCATGAAGAAAAAATAAAATAAGCACACAAACGATCCGGAGAACGAATCCCACCCAGAACAAATTTCGCGAAACACAAGCGAGATAACGAATCGCTGCGAATCAGGCCAGAACATTTTCTTACAGGCGACAAGGAAATCGTTCTTTCCTCCGAACTGCTGTTTGAAAAGAAATTTTCTCGGGGTACTTGCTCTTAGTGCATCGTAAAGATAATTTAATGAAACGTTATTAGGTCTTACACGATGTATGGTTTTTATTCTATGTCACATGTGTGTTGGTGTTGGGGCAGTGTTTTTCTTTTGATGTATACTTGATAAAAAAAAATACTTGAGGTTATTCTGGTGAAACAGCAGCAGCAAGGCAAATGCAATAACGTACATATTTCGAGGTCAAGGTTCGATGTCCTAGACCAAATACGTTTTCTCAAAAAACCACATTGATGTCGTCCAAATTTTACTTAAGTGTCCCAGGTCAAAATTGAGCAGAGCTACTGCTCATTCGTAATCCGAGCGTCTATTTTCCAAAGTTTTTTTTTTTTAATTGCAGCTGACCGGCCGGAAAAATCAATACGATGATCTCAAGTTGGTTAATTACGGATCCTTATTCCACTTCCCGAGAGATTTAATTACTTTTTACACTCATGTTCGATGTAACCTCGACATTCTAAGAGATCTTTCCGTTCAGCTCGAGTATAACAAGAGGCCACATTCCATTAAGCGGGAGAGAGAGAAGTTTCCATCATAAACTAAAACAAACAAAGCCGACTTTGTCCCGTCAGTCATATCACAACTTGCGGGGATATTTTCTGCTTCTGTGTCGTTGCGAGCGTCTGTGAGAAAATAATATTTAAATAAAGCGTTACGCAGCGCAGACAAACACGAGTCGCATTTTTCTTCGCGACAAGCTCTCTCAGCTGTATCTCTCCATCTCTCGTCACGCTCCTCAACAACTGATCACAAAAGAAACCCGCACGAATAACAGACGAAACATTGCGCCACCGCCGACCTTTGAAAAAAAAAAAATGCAAGGGTTCCATCAAAGACTGACCAAATGAATTTAAATTAATCGAAGGTCAAAATAACCAATAAAACTCCGAAGCATGAACAGAGAGACACAACATCGCGTGGATGCCAACAAACGAGTCCCTTGATTCGAAGGTTTACTGCGGGCGAACCTCTTCCGCGTCGAACTTCGAAAAATTCGCAAACAAAAATTTAAAGTTGGAGAAACGAGCATTTTTGTTCCAGGAAAGATCACAGGAAATTGTGGGCCTTAAATTACTTCTAAGATGAGTTTAGAGGATGCTGAAGTTGGAGGCAAGGGTTTATTCGCTCAAAAGCCTTTCACTTCCTTTCAAGTCAGATCAAGCTACTATACATGACTATCGATTTTCTCTTCCTTGTATAAAACAAAATATTGAGCCAAAAAACCTCCAGAAAATTCAAGACATAAAGGTTCAAGGAGAAAGTCCTCTGAATCCGAAAGGTTTTTAATGCACTATTTTCAAAGGGATTTCATACAGGAACTTGAAACGGATTCATAAGGTTCAACTGTTGAACGTAATTCATGAAATTGTCAGCCAAACGAGTGCAAAAATTCGTCTTCACCCACATATGACATGCGCAATAAGTTTCCTCTTTCTTTCTTTCGCATTCATAATCCGGGCCGCGTCGAAAACGCGTCAGGGAAACCAGCCAGCCAGCATAACACACCGACACCGCGGGTCCCGCAGTGCCAGAACGCAGACACGAGCCAAGTTCAATACCCGTCGGCCGCGTAGGAAACCCGAAAACCTATCCGACCTGGCACAACGTCCCAGAGGGGATACGTTCTTACCGCATTAACGCGACTATAGGCCGCTCAGAGAGTGTTGGGAATTACAGTATTTATGGAAGCAGAAACGCTGGTTTCACACTGGCGCAAAACCTGACGATTTTCCTGCAAAAATCGTTAGTGTAATTTTTTAAAATCACACATTGCACTTCTGGGCGCATGAAATAAATTAGAGGGTTCTGCAGTTAAATTTACTTTACGTACGATTTTGACCTCACGAGCACCTGGTGGGTTCGCGTGGAAGTGAAATAGAAGTGCAAATTTTTGCAAGGGAGTGAACCCTACGTGGGAGAGTTCTTTGTACCTGGGCGTTAGTGTAGGCAGATCGAACCCACGAAAATGCCACGAGGACCAGGGCACATATCGCAATTCATTGGTTGGTCAGTACAGGCACTTTTCCCAACGAACTACAGTACCTCGCAATACTATATACGAGTTACACGCTTTGCGAGGAATTTCTCAGGGAATTTTCGCAGTCTCTGGGATTCTGATCTTCATGCACAATCTATGGCAAGATTTGTAATTTATTCATGTTTTTCCCAAGACTGAGATTCACGGGGAGAAGGTAAAAAGTGACCCCCAGCCAGGAAGAACAATTTAAGGAACATTTGACAATAGTTGAAATTATTACACTGGTCAGTCAATAAGGCATTGTGCATCGATTGTAACAATTTCGAAGCTCGCATGCGAGTTTTAAAAAAAAGGTCCACGAAAGATAGCGTTTGCCCAATTTCAATTTGTGAGATATAAAATCAGCCTCTCAAGCCAATGGAACGAGCACAATTTTGCCAAAATAGCAACCTTGCCCAACGCAAGATCGAACCCAAAATGTTACGCTTGCTCTTCTGTGCTTCAAATTTTTTTCAATACCTCCTTTTGCCGGAAACTTTTTCAGCTTTTCCGAAACTCGTTTTTAATGTGCACCATGCACAAATACCCCGCCCAGCGATGAGAACCGACACCCGTCAAGGGATTTCCCAGGGTCGAAAATAAAAAAATGTACAAAAATAAAAACCCGACTCGGCGACGCCAACACGGCCTCGCCCATTCCACCCCGTCGCTGAAATCACGCAAAAAGGATAGAAGACGACAAAAAAACCCCATGTTTAACTGCACCAGTTTGCCTACATTCAAGGAAAAGGGCTTCGAGAGAGGGAGAGAGGGAAAATCCCGTTAGAAACCTAGAAAATTTTTTCTTCATATTTTCCGACAGCAGCCTCCAGTTGTCGTCATCTCCGTCGTCGACTACTCGAGGATCAACTCGTCGCACCCCCCAGTGCCACGAGTTTCCATCGTCACCGTCATTTCCAACGACGACGTCGAAGCACACGCACATTCGAAACACCCACATACTCGCACACTCACGTAGGGATTCACAAGCTACCGCAAAAGAAAAAACTGGGACAGCAAGTAAGGCACGCATTTTTATGTAATCATCATCCTATCCTGTCACCGCGAATCCCAATGCAGCTGAGTTTGGCATAACGAGAAGGCAATTGACGAATTATAATCAGATAAATTCTGCAACTCAAGGTAGAATCAAGGCCCAGTGAGCAACGTTCACAGAAATAGGCTTAGTTCAGACAGGAAACAAATCTTTGTGACTACATTAAGAATTTTAATTACACGGTCACCAAAAGTCAAGGAGGTGCTAAAATTGTGTGAATACAACAGACCGCAGACACACTTAAAAGTTAAAATACCGGAACGGAAATGCGGCGAATGCACACACACGCCTGAATTCAAACAATGAAATGTCAGGAATTCCGATGAATTCAAGATAACAGGA